AATTCCCTGTGCATAAAACAGGAGCTGGAATTGCAGTTCAAGTCCTGCCTCTGCCACCAGTTGTGGGACCTGCATCTCTTAGTGCCTCCAGTCTGTAAGCACGTGAGATGCCTGCCTAATGCCTTCCCAGCACTATCATATGAGGCTCAAAGGAGACAGAGATTTGAGCATTATAACAAAAGTCTGACTGACTAGAAAACTCTTTGGTGCTCCAGTCATTTTAAGAAACAGTGAATTGTGAGATCTGGACTATATCCTTTTCCTCTCCATGTGATATAAGGAAAAAATGGGTTTGGACTTGGAGAATAGAGGTTTATAAATTTCTCAGAATACCAGTTTTTTTCATTCATTCCAAAAAAAGTGGGGTGGGAGCAATACTACCTGCTTTCCATTATCGTAATTCAATGAGCTTTAATGCCTACAACAGTTCTTCTGGAATATAAATGAAAGTTTTTTGGGCCAGTGCTTGGCTTCGTGGTTAAGGCAGCTGGATCACATATGGCTGACTATGTGGTTCAAGTCCTGGACATAATAATGTGAAAAACATACCAGGTGTGTGTATGCATTGCACACATATCCAAAATCCCAAAAGGAGGAAGAGATAGAGGAGAAAGGATTGCAGCATGACCATTCCCCATGTGGGGATACTTTCTTGCTTTCCTTTTTTTCCTCTCTCTCTCTGGCAAGCACACATGCCCTCTGGCAAATGTAAAAAAAAAAAAAAAAAAAGTTTCCTAACCCAACAATATGCCAGCAAAGTACCTGCTGTGTTGCCCACATCATGCAGACCCTTAAATGTCTCCAAGTTTCGATCTTTTCAACTCTAAACTGTAAAATAGAGATAATGCCTCCCTGTTTCATAGTTTGACTATAAGGAGCAAATGAAATAATGTATAAATGAAAGTGTAAATTGTTTTTATTCAAGTTTTTAAAATTATTTTATTTATTTTTATTATTTTTAAATTTGACCAGAGAGAGAAAGTGAGAAAGCAAGTTACCAGGTCTGGAACTTGAACCGTGGTTGGCCATGTGGAAGTTTAGCACCTTAACTACCACATCAATATTCAGCTTTAATATAGAACTTTTTTTTTTTTTGAGAGGTTTTCACTATAGGGCATGTGTGCTCGCCAGACAGACAGAGAGACACAGAGAGACAGAAAGCGAGAAATCACCCCCCAGGGGGGATGGTCATGCCACAATCTCTTCTCCTCCATTCTCCTCTCGGGATCTTGGGCACGCACGCACATGCGCCCAGCATGAGTTTTAAGCCATTTTTTCTTTCCAATTTGCCATAGAGTGTATATGCACACTGGAGACAGAGACCCAGACAGAGAGAGACAAAGAGAAAGCCCCCTCCAAAGGGGATGGCCACACCATAATCCGTTCTCATGGGATTTTTTTTTTGGAGAGGTTTTCGCTATAGGGCGCATGTGCTCGCCAGACAGAGACACATAGAGACAGAAAGCGAGAAATCACCCCCAGGGGGGATGGCCATGCTGTAATCCCTTCTCCTCCATTCTCTCGGGATCTTGGGCACGCACGCACACACACCCGGCATGAGTTTTAAGCCACCAGGTCCGGGACGTGAACCGCGGTCAACTACGTGGGAGTCCAGCGACATAGCCATTACGCTAACTGCTGGTTCCCATGTTCTCATGGGATTTTTGGCACACGTGGACATGTGTCCAGCTTGTCTCTCAAGCCACTGGGTGTAGGACTTGAACCATACAGTTGGCCATGTGGGAACCAGCTGCTTTAACCACCACACCATGGGCTGGCCCAGTGCATTCTATTTGTAAAAACTGGTATGTGGTGCCAGGAGGTAACATGGTAATTAAGGTGCGTGATTCCAACATGGTCAACCATGATTCAAGTCCCAGACTGGGCAGCTTGAAAATATTCTGGGCATTTGTGTGTACACGTCCAAAATACTGAGAAGAGATAAAAGAAGGGGTCCAAAATACTGAGAAGAGATAAAAGAAGGGATGGCGGTATGGCATCCCCCCCTAGTGGGTAATTTCTCACTTTCCCTTTCTCTGTCTCTGTCTGCCTCTCTCCAGTGAGTGCACATGCTCTAAGGCAAAACCTTAAAAAAAAAAAAAAAAAAAGATCTGCAAAAGGCTTTTTCTGATTTTATTACAAAGGGAAAGTGTAAGTTATAAAATAAAATGTTTACCCAAAGTTGGAAAATAATTCCTTTCTATTTAATGTAACAGGGCCGATGAGAAACAGAAGCGAAGCTGACTGTTATTAATTTTTGTTGTTCATTTGTTCATTTTTATTTTTTTTAATCTTCAAGTACAAGTATCAAGTCAATATGGATGGAACCGTGGCTGCTTACAGATATCCATATCTCATGCTGGGAGACAGTCTAGTTCTGAAACAGGACTCACCATATTATGAACATTTCTACATGGGACTAGAACCTTGGAAACACTATGTCCCAATTAAAAGAAATTTGAGTGATTTGCTGGAGAAAATTAAATGGGCTAAGGTACATATCTTGCAATTTTCATTTCTTTAGACAATTCAAAATTCATCAATATCAGTTACTTAAGTTCCAACCCAACATAAAATTGATTTGACATAATAGAATCCAAAGAAATGAAATTTTTGTTCTTTTAAAATACCTAATGAATCACCAGAATCATTTTATATATGCTCTGTCAACATTTTTGAATATTTTTAGATTTGAAGGCCAGTGTTATAGTAGAATATAGAATTTCTAAGTGAATCGTTATTTGTGTTTATATACACAAACAGGAACACACAAAATGCAGATTATAGATCAAAAAGACCAGAATTAAAGTGATTTATGGACAAGACAACACTTAAGGCAATGATGGTACTCCTTTTTCTCCACAGTAGAAAAACAGCATAAGTTCTTTTTTGTTGAGAGAAAAAGTTGTGCTATAGGGCATGTGCACTTGCCATAGAGACAGAGACAGAAACTGAGGAACCACCCCCGCCCTGGAGCAATGGCCATACTACAGTCCCTTCTCCATTCTCCTCTCGGGATTTTGGGCATGCACACACATGTGCCTGGTGTGAATTTTAAGCTGTCAGGTCCAGGACTGCATAGTTTTTGTTTTTGGTTTTTATAACATTTACTATCTTTTGTTTTTTAAAGAATTATTTCATTTAACTTCATTTATTTTAATTTGACCAGAGAGGGACACAGTGAGGGGCGGGGGTAGTGAGAAAGAGGGAAAGTGAGAAAGCAAGCTGCCAGATCCAGGACTTGAACTGTGATTGGCTATGGGGGAGTCCAGCACCCTTAACTACCATGCCACTGCTGGCCCCACAGCATAAGTTCTTAATGAATACATGTGAAGCAACATCCCAAGAATCCCAAGTTTCCCATAAAATAGAAGTTCATTTAAAAAAAAAATACTGAAAAGTTGCTGTGTTTTATTATGTTGGGTCATCAAAAAAGTCATGACATATTTTTCTATGTCTTTCTATGTAAAAATGCACCATGACTTTTCTGACGACCCAGTAAAACTATAAAAATGCACCCTTCCATTATAAAACTTTACTCTAAATTTCTGAAAAGTAACTTTGGTTATGGATATATGTACTTATGGTATAATCATTTTTGTGACCATTTATAAGATCAAAATCACTAACAGATGACTTTTTCTCTGGGTAGCATGGTAGATTAACTATTTTCCAAAAGTATAACTAGGAACACTAACTTCCTGGTATCGAAGGTGGGATGACCATGCCATGATCCCTTCTCCATTCTCCTGTGGGGATTTTAGGCACACACACATATCCGGCTTGTTTCAAGCCGCCAGATCTGATACTTGAACCACAGCTGACCATGTGGGAATCCAGCACCTTAACCATTATGCCAGCTGCTGGCCCCTATAGGTACCATTATGTAACACAACTCTTTGGTTTTGACTGCATATTTAAACTGAGCTTTTGAAAGATCTTATACATTGAGAAATGATTCATTCTTCTTTCAAGCTGAGAGGGCTGAGATGGGTAGTGGGGAGGAACATGATGAGCTCCAATCTTCCTTCCTGGGTATGTAAGAAAGTACCACAGCAGAGTGGAGGTTGCATGTGGGTTTTTGTGCTAGGGAGTTGGGGGATGGTGTTTACTGGGATTATAGAATAGGGGGCTAACATGTAGGATCATTTCTCTTTAATAGAGATTGACTAGGAAAATACTCTATTTTCATAGTCTGATTTATAAATTCTGTTCCCATTTAGTTCCATTTCTCCCATGCTGTTCACATCCATTCCCACATCTGTTCTACTGCACACTCACCCCTGCTTTATTTCTGGGTCATAATGTAACTTGACTTCATTTTTCTTTGAAACCTTTCAGGAAAATGATGAAGAAGCCAAGAAGATTGCCAAAGATGGGCAGTTGACCGCTAGGGACCTGCTACAACCACATAGGCTTTACTGCTACTACTACAGAGTATTACAGGTCAGTTCTGAGTGTCCATCCTGTGGGGTAATGTGTCCTTAGACCACCTGTTTGCTCTGAAAGGTTCTGAGAGTCAGCCTGTGAGCTATCTGGCAATGCCAGGTCATCAGCCTATGGAAAGGTAGGGCAAATGCTAACCCCTTGTGGCCTCCATAATTTTTATCTCTACTTGCTACTATAAAAATGCTTAGAGCCCTTACAAATCTTTTAGAAGATCCTCACATTTTGTCAGTGTTCTAGTAAATACCTATGAAATTCCTCATGTAGAAAATAAGAGGGTTGGACTAGAGATACATCTCTTTCTGCTCAAAATGTCACCTCCGGGGACCAGCAGTTAGTGTAATGGCTATGTCGCTGAACTCCCATGTAGTTGACCACAGTTCGAGTTCTGGACCTGGTGGCTTAAACTCACACTGGGTGCGTGTGCATGCATGCCCAAGATTCCAAGAGGAGAATGGAGGAGAAGGGATTGAGGCATGGCCATCCCCACTGGGGAGTGATTTCTCGCTTTCTGTCTCTCTGTCTCTCTCTAGCGAGCACATGCACCCTATAACAAAAACCTCTCCAAAAAAAAAAGTCACCTCCTTATTCTCTCACTTCTTAAGATTCATATCTTTGTTATGACAGTACAGGACAGAAAGCAAATATTTAGCCTTCTACATAAAACAAGTAAGTGAGAAATATTTATAATAATCCTGGTTCCTTAGGTCTGAATCCTGAAGTACAGATATCATTGGGAATCTGAAGATTGGTCCCTTTGAGAAACTAGCTTCTGTTTTTATTCAGTAAAATCTAAATAGGAAAGGAAAAAGAAAAAGAAACTATTTTAAACTTATTTTTCTGTAAAAGTATAAAAGTAAATTTTCTCATATGTCTATGGATTTGACCCACTCAGAAAAATAATGAAAGTAGCACTCCCTTCCCTTAAATGGATTTTATCTCTTTTGCTGGTCTAACTTTAATTTTTTTTTAATTGTAGATTTTACTAGATGGTGTGTGCATTTGCTGGAGAGAAACAGAAAGAGAGAGAGAGAGAGAGAAGGGGGAAGAAAGCATCCCCCATGGGGATGGATGTGCCACAATCATTTCTCCTTTTGGGATTTTGGGCAGGTACACACGTTACCAGTATATTTTTCAGTCTGGGAATTGAGCTGCATATTCGGCCATGTGGAATTGAGCCATGTTAACCCATGCCACTGGATGGCCCTATATTTAATTTTAATAATAGGAGTTTCTACCCCTAAAATAATAGTTAACCTCATATTGGTGTCAGCATTTTGGTGTATATGGCCCAGTATCAGAAATGCATAGCTAAATGGACATGGCAGTTAATGAAGCCAGATTTCATATGGACTGCTGCTTAGTTTGAATACTGGACCCAGTGGCTTGAAAAACACACTGAATATGTGTGCATGTGTGCCCCAATCCTGAGAGGAAGGAGAAACGGAGAAAGGATTGCAGCATGAACACACCACATTGGAGGATGCTTTCTATCTCTCTATCTTTATTAGCTAGGGCACATGCCTTCTGGCAGATAAAAAAATGTGTGACTACAGGTATAAAGGAAAGGGTGTGTGAGACTACTAGCTTTATTTTAAGAGGCTTAACATTTTTATTTGCTGACTCAAAAACTCAACAAAGTTCATTACTCATTAACAAATAGAGGATAAATGCTGAGAGCTGCTATTTGTTTCAAGTAGGGGAATTTGGCATGGCATCTCTTTTGTACAGTATCTCTTCCTCCCTACACATAAAATTGTGGATGAGTTCCTGGCTATTAAGTTATACTGGTGCCTATAATAACCACAGTTAAAATAAAAATTTAAGACTGGAATAGATAAGGCCTTTGGTTTTATTCTGAAGATACAGATGAGAAAGTATGGCATGATTGGGGTGGGGGTAGGTAAAGGAGTCAGTGGGATGAAGTGTGGACTAATTTTTCAGTTGCCTTCAAACACACATTTCAGAAATATGCCCAGCGCCAGTCCAGCAAACCAGAAATACGTGATGGAATGGAACTTGTTCCTCAGCCAAATGATGACACATCCATTTGCCAGTGCTCCAGGAAGAAGTCATCAAGAGAAGAACTCTAAGTCAGGCCAGACTCATACTCTGGTGTATGCTGGCTGCATCTTTAAGGGAGCCCTTCAGATTGAACCTAAGCTGTGAAAAACGGTGCAAAGACTTTACCCAGTGTGCTGGTTCTCTTGGTGGTTTATATATTAATGGATTCACCAGTATTCCTGCAAGTATTACCAAATATCTGTGGATAGTAATTTCTTTTGAGTAAAAACTGCTACTATCAGCATCATAATTTCTCTAAGAAGATTACTGGGGAATCATAGCAGGCTTACCAAAATATACATCACCCTCTATGAATCAGTTTACATCATATTTATTAGTTTATTTCTATCCCTTTTCACTTTCTTTCTTCCACTTTCAGTTACAAAAAAAAAAATTGTGTACAGGGAGTTTTTTGTCTTTTTTTTACCTCCCACATGGCATTATCTTTCTTTTTATAAGCTGCTTTTGGCATTTAGTCCTAGCAGCCCACTTTTGGAAGTTCTGATAAGAATTAAAGAAAAACAGATGACCCTTATTATAAAAGGTAGCATGGAGACTTGGAGAAAAAATTTTTAAAATACTACTTGTATCTCTTTAACTAAATTTTGCCAAGACCTAAAATAAAGTTAAGAAGAAATTAAGCCAGTAATTTTCTATCTATCCAGGTTGTGTATACATCAAGGACAACACAGTTATTAATACAGATGAGGGCAACCTAGGAGTATCATTTATTATCTATATTTGAATAGATAAAAGATAGCTGTAGTGGGGGGGATTCTTAATCTTTTTAAAAGGATCCTTGAAAACCCCTACAACAAGCTACAGGAAACGTGTTGTCTTGGGATTCTTTAATAAACTAACAAACACCCACTCCTCAATCCATGACTTTTCTATTTCATCACTAAATAAAAGACTTTGGTAAATTCTTCTGTCTCTTAGGACAAGGTTAAGACTATGACTCATAGCCTAGAAATTCATTACACACTCCTTGTAGTATCATCAGTTCAAGACTGAGTTCACTAAAGAAACTCTAAAAAATAAGAGCTCTCCACATTTCCAATTTTAAAATATTTACTTCCCTACCTTATAGATATATCTCTATGCCCATGGTGTGGTGATTAAAGTGACTGAAGCCCACATGGCCACCTACACTGTTTGAGTCCCAAATCTGGTGGCTTGAAAAACCACTGAGGGCTTGTATGTAAGTATCCCAAATCCTAAAAGAAGAAATGAAGGAGAAGGGGTTGTGGCATGACCATTCCCTATGCGGGTTGACTGTCTTTATTTTCTGGCAAGTGCACGTGCCCTCTGGCAAAAAAAAAAAAAAGTTTCTTGATTTGGAAAGCAATGTAACCATTTAAAATTGGTCATATCTTTTCTTTTCTTTCTTTTTTTTTTTTTTTAAGAATGGGAACACAGGGGACCAGCAGTTACCGTAATGACTATGTCGCTGGACTCCCATGTAATTGACCGTGGTTCGAGTCCTGGACCCGGTGGCTTAAACTCATGCTGGGCACATGTGCGTGTGTGCCCAAGATCCCGAGAGGAAAATAGAGGAGAAGGGATTGCGGCGTGGCCATCCCCCCTGGGGGATGATTTCTCGCTTTCTGTCTCTGTCTGTCCGGCGAGCGCACGCGCCCTATAGCAAAAACCTCCCCCCCCCAAAAAAAAAAAAGAATAGGAACACAGGATTTTTTTTTTCCTTTTTTTAGACTTTTGCCATAGGATACATGTGCTCACCAAAGAGAGGCACAGAGAGAGAGAAAGTGAGAAATACCCCTCCCCAGGGGGATGGCCACACTACAATCCCCTCTTTTCCATTTTTCTCTTAGGATTTTGAGCATGCACATAAACACATCTGGTATAATTTTCCAGCTGGCAGGTCCGAGACTCAAACTGCTAAACTGACCATGTGGGATGCAGCTGCCTTAACCACCATGCCATTTGCTGGCCCCACAGGATTACTTTTAATGAAGGAAAAGCAACATTTTAGAACAGTGTACTCAAAGCTAAGTATCCAAGTTAAACCCTAATACCTATCAGTTATTCAAAACTATATGTACACATGTATAAAATAAAGGTCAAACTGTCCTGAGACACCTAATGAACCTATGTCTTACATATTTCATACATATCAAAATTATGGCAAGCAAGATTGTCTTTCTCATACCCCCTCTGTCTCCCAACCCCAGACCTGATAGCTAATGGCACTTTGTCAGAAACATCTTAAATTTTAAAAGTTTATTTCCTTTGCTGCCAAACAGGCCTTATGATTAAAAGCAGGTTGAGATAAACTAGGCAGCTTTGGGAAGTGAACAAGAAAGATGTGCTTGAGAAATAAAAGTAAAGCCATTCAAGAAATTCTAAAGTGAGAGATCTGCCTTAATCTAGATAATCCATCCCATCAGTTGGACCACAACCTTTTAAAAGGGTTAGATTTACATGGCTTTCTGGTTTGTTGACTTGAATATAATATAGTAAAGGTGGTACTACTAAAATCCTGCTTATCTCCCATTCAGTTGACTTACTCATGTAACTCTGTTAATCATTTCATTTTTAATACTTCAGTATTCATGAAAAACATCTTTAAAGAGAGAAGAGGATAAGGCTATGCAAGTAAATATAAAAGCCACATTTGTGTAAATAAGCTATCAACATGTTTGTTGCAGTATTTTTAAAAACTAAAATGTTGGAGGGACCAGCAGATAGCATAATAGTTATGTTACTGGACTGCCATGTAGTCCACCATGGTTCAAGTCCTGGATGCAGAGGCTTGAAACTCGTGCCAGGTGTGCGTGTGTACATGCTCAAAATCCTGAGAGGAGAATTGAGGAGAAAGGATTACAATGTGGTCATACCCCCTTGGGGGATGATTTCTCTCTTTTTCTCTCTGTCTCCTTCTCTCCAGTGAGAGCACACGCAAAAAATCTCTCACTCAAAAAAAAAAAAAAAAAAAAGAAAGAAAGAAAAGTGGCCATCATTAGGAATTGTCTGAATAGAAACTGATTGAGGAATGAAGTACAACCATCAAAAAGACTGAAGTAGTTCTAAATGTATTATTACAAAAGATTTCCATGATCATGTTCATCAGAGAAACAAATTATAGAGCAACATGTATAATGTGAAGCCATGTATGTTTAAAAAAACGTATGTATGTGGTTAAAGATTCACCAATATCTGAGGAGAGGATGGAGAAAAGTGAATTTTTCACTTCTGTTTTATAACTGCCTATATTTAATTTTTTTCTATGAGTCAAAATGTAAAATAAAATGATAACCTAAGAAAAGTCAGTAAAGGTATAAATGATTAAAATAGGAAAAAAATGGATATATTTTCCATTATACTGTTTTTCAACTGGATATATTTTCCATTATACTGTTTTTCAACCTACTATGTCTAGAATTTTGTATCATGGGATATATTATATACACTTTTATTAAAATTAATTTTCTAAATAAAAGTTTGGAAAGAATAAGTTTTAGGTTTTTTGCGAAAGAGATTATAACCACTTATAACTTTGCTATTTCTGTAACTGGGTTCTAATTTTTTTTCCTTCAAGACAGAATATGTATGCATGCATATGACACAGAGAGAAAGAGATAAACAAGGAGAGATAAGCACCTTCCTCAGAGTCTGGTCACACTGTAGTCCCCTTCCTCCAGTCTTTCAAACCATCTGATCTTGGGTACTCATACCTGTGCTTGGCATGTTTCAGGTTAATCAGGCAACGGATTTGATCCACTGTCGCCATATGAGATCTGGCTTTTCTTTTCTTTTCTTTTTTTTCCCTTTTTTGAGAGGTTTTTGCTATAGGGCATGTGCGCTCACTGGAAAGACAGAGACAGAGAGACAGAAAGTGAGAAACCACCCCCGGGGGGATGGCCACACCACAATCCCTTCTCTTCCATTCTCCTCTCGGGATCTTGGGCACGCACGCACACGTGCTCGGTGTGAGTTTAAGCCATTAGGTCCCGGACTCAAACCACAGTCCACTATATGGGAGTCCAGTGACATAGCCATTATGTTAACCGCTGGTCCCAGATCTGACTTTGCTTAAGCAGCACATTACCGCTGTGTCATGGAGCCAGTCCATAATTTTAATTGTCTTCACAAATAAATGAATCAAGGGACCAGCAGTTGGCATAATGGCTATGCCACTGAACTCCCATGTAGCCGACCACAGTTCGGGTCCTGGTCCCGGTGGCTTAAGCTCATGCCAGGTGCGTGTGTGTACGTGCCCAAGATCCTGAGAGGAGAATGGAGGAGAAGGGATTGCGGTGTGGCCATCCCCCCTGTGGGGGTGATTTCTGGCTTTCTATCTCTCTGTCTCTCTCTTTCTGGCAAGCGCACGTGCCTTACAGTAAAAACCTCTCCAAAAAAATTAAAAAAAAAAAAAGAATCAAAACTTCTATCACTATCATCCACTCCCTCATGGGCATAAATCTAATATTAGAGAAAGGACACTTGGATTTGACACTATTGTGTTCAGTAGATGGTGAAAATACAAGGAAGCAGGCAGAAGATAATGGTCCTCTGGCTTAAGACCAATGTTCTTGTTTAGAGAGAGGAAATCATTCTTGGGGGTCATGAGGTATATATATTTCACTTCAAACAGTTGAGAAATTTAGCCAAACCCTAATGTAAAATTTCCTCCTTCATACAAAGAACTACAAGGTAACCTTTCCCAACCCCTGCTGCTCCCACTCCATTCTAGCCTCTGGCAGAGCTGTTCCAGTTACTGAGATAAAAGCTAAGTTTCTTCTAAACCAGGTCCTCTCTGTAGAGTTGTGTGGAAGGAGCCACTCAAATTAAGCCGATACCTTACATGACAACATTTCTTAGGCAGAAAGAGTAAGAGACTGGAATTGTTTTTTATCCTGTAAGAAGAAATGGCAAGTCCTGGAAGTGGGTCAGGATTGTGGGGGAGGAGGTGGCATAAATAGAGGGAGACACGTGTCAGAGTGAGGGGAGGAATGGAACAGTTTTGTTTTTTTTTTTAAAAAAACATTTTTGTCAAATTTTACCCCCCCCATAGTTAAATATACTTCTATAAAATAAAATTAATGTATTTTAACCATTCATCAGCATCAGATTCCACAAGTTTATTGGCTCAGTCTTCCACAAGGCTGCCCCTAGACACCAGCCATCACTAAGATCCCAGGTCATCCTTATTTTTGAACAGCTGGCTAAAAATTAAGGGATTTCTCTGACCCACCCTAAATCTGATGATTCAACAGAAGATCTCCCCAAACTCAGGAAAGTGCTATGCTTTTTTTTTTTTTTTTTTTTTTAGATGTTTGCTATAGGGAGTGTGCACTCACTGAAGAGAGACAGAAAGAGAGAGGAAAAGAGAAATCCTCCAGGGAGGATGGCCATGACACAGTTCTTTCTCCAGTCTCCTTGGGATTTGGGGCATTCACACACACAAGCCTGGTGTGATTTTCAAGCTGCTAAGTCTGGACATGACCACGGTTGGACTTATGGGAATCCAGCACATTAACCACCGTGCCACTTGCTGGCTTGAGTTTTAAAAAAAATTTTTTTAATAATTATTTAACTTTTATTTATTTATTTTAATTTGACCAAAGAGGGACAAAGTGCAAGAGACAGAGAGAGAGAGAGAGAGCAAGAGAGAGAAAGTAAAAAAGCAAGCCACCAGATCTAGGACTCAAACCATAGTCAGCATGTGGGAGTCGAGAGCCCTTAGCCACAGTGCCAAATGCCTCCCTCCACGCCCCCCTCCCCCTGCCAGTTTAAATTTTTAAACCTACTTTCTACTATATTAAAAATTAAATAGTGAGTTCCAGCAGCTCTGGGGGTGGGAGGAGTGGTAGGGTTTATCCACTGAACTCTGCAAAGGTTCTAGGCGCCTCACGGCCTCATCAGGCACCCAGCACGCACCCTGTCCACAGCCAAGATGCCCAAGAGGAAGGTCAGCTCAGCTGAGGGGGCGGCCAAGGAAGAGTCCAAGAGGAGATCGGCGAGGTTGTCGGCTAAATCTCCTGCAAAAGTGGAGATGAGATGAAGCCAAAAAAGGTGGCAGGGAAGGATAAATCTTCAGACAAAAGAGTTCAAAGAAAAGGGAAAAGGGGAGCAAAGGGGAAACAGGCTGAAGTGGCCAACCGAGACACTAAAGAAGATTTACCTGCAGAAAATGGAGAAACTAAAAATGAGGAGAGTCCACCCTCTGATGAAGCAGGCGAGAAAGAAGTCAAGTCTGAGTAATATCATATATCATGTCTTATCAATGGTCCCTGTCTCCCTTCTTGTACAATCCAGAGGAATATTTTTATCAACTATTTTGTAAATGCAAGTTTTTTAGTAGCTCTAGAAACATTTTTAAGAAGGAGAGAATCCCACCTCATCCCATTTTTTAAGTGTAAATGCTTTTTTTTAAGAGGTGAAATAATTTACTGGTTGTTTATTTTTCAGTACAACCAGAAAATAGTGGGATATTGCCTTATAGGAGGCTTTGGCTCTCTTAAGTGTCAGCTTAACATTCCATAGGTGGGGGCGGGTGGGTAGTTTTTATATCCTAAATAAAAAGCATACTAAATGGCAGTTTGGAGTCATAGTCATGCATTTAATGTGTCTTGAATATTTTAAATGACTTCTATTATGTTTTTTAGTAGTATTGTTTCCTAAAGAAAAACCACTCTTTGATTGTTGCTCTCCCTGTCAGAATTGTGTGCACTCTGTAACATCTTTGGTCGTGGTAGTCCAGTTTTCCTAATAATTCTGTTAATGTGCTGCGAAAGATTGGAAATTTGAAGTATGTAGTCTGTATGATACTAAATTGTGATTTGGTTGGGACTTACATAACAGCTTTCAACATCTGAAGACAGTGGTTCTTGATATCCTCTTAAGGAAAATTTGCCTACAAATTTGAAGCTGGAACATCACTGGAATAACTTAAAAAGAATCACTATACTTGGCTTTTTAAATTTTTGGTACATATGTTAAGAATTGGGTACAAATTAAAATGTCTGTACTGATCCTTGACACAACCAATAAATCTCAATTACAAAAAAAAAAAAATTAAATAAAGGAGCCAACAGGTGACATGGTGATTAGCATGCTAGACACCCACATGACCAATTGAGGTTTGAGTGCTGGACCTGTGGCTTGCTTTCTCACTTTCCCTGTTTCTCTCTGGTCAAATTAAAAAATAATAATTAAAAAAATCTTCTTTTAGAGATTTTTGCTACAGGGTGCTTGTGCTCACCAGAGAGAAAAAGAGAAAGAGACAGAAAGAAAGAAATCACTCTGGGAAGATGGCCATGCCTCAATCCCTTCTCCATTCTCCTCTCAGGATCCTGGACATGCACACATAGGTGTCCAGCTTGAGTTTTAAGACACTTGGTCCGGGACTCAAACCACAGTGGACTAGATGAGAGTCCAGTGATGTAACCATTACACCATCTGCTGGGCTTGTCAAAATTAAATAATTCTTTAAAAAATTTAAGTACAAGCATATATGTTTTCATGACTATATGTTTAGTTTATTATTTATAGCTAATGTGTGTTAACACAGGGTAACTTCAGAAAAGACTATAGCTCAACCCTATACTTACTATGATTGTGATAATAACTTTAAAGAACCCTGGAAGCTCAGTGAGTCATGGAATTAGCCTGCAGGGAATTTCCTCTGTACAAATGTTTTTATTATATAGGAATTTCTTTCTTTAGGCATTTTTTTCCCTTGATGTTCAATTCCCTTACAAACTAATGGTATGTTACATGCATTCATAGTGGGAAACCGCAGAACTCAGAGTTCTGAACAAGATTATTTTTCACTGTGATAATTTATGAGTAAAGAATTGCCAAAGTGTCAGATATTCAGAAATCAAAACTCAAATTTGTTTTAGATATGCAGTGTTCGGATAAATTAATGTGATTTGAAAATTAATTTAAGATGAGGAGACCAGCAGTTAGCGTAATAGCTATGTTGCTGGACTCCATGTAGCCTACCGTGGCTCAAGTTCTGCACCCGGTGGCTTAAAACTCACGCCAGGTGCGTGTGCATGCATGCCTAAGATCCTGAGAGGAGAATGGAGAAGAAGGGATTGCGGCTGTGGCCATCCCCCCCTGGGGGGTGATTTCTTGCTTTCTGTCTCTGTTTCGCTCTGTCTGGCAAGTGCACGTGCCCTATAGCAAAAACCTCTCCAAAAAAAAAATTAATTTAAGATGGCGCTAGCCCATAGCATGACTGGACAGTTAAGGCTGCTGGATCCCAAATGGCTTACTGTGTGGTTCCAGTCCCTGAACCTGTGCCTGAGAAACTCAGTTAGGGTACGTGCAGGTATGAACAAAATACCAAAAGGGAGGAGAAATAGAGAAGGGGTTGTGGCATGACTATTCCCCATCCAGGTTGCTTTCTCTCTTTCTCTCTGCAGGCAGGGCACATGTCCTCTGGTAAAAAATTAAAAAAAAATTTTTTTTAATTAAAAAAAAGTTAAATTCATTAAAGAGGTCATCCATCTTCACTTTAAAACTGGTTTAGGTTTAACCCGGTAAGGAGTTTAAATTCTAGAAATAACATTAGACTCCAGCCACGTGTCACTTACTCTTTGGCCTTGACCAAGACCTACCATATAGCTAGAAGGATGTTTTCTTATTCACAAATGAGAAAACTAAATCAAATATTCCACTATATTTCTCCAATATTTTTTAAGTCCTTGGTTGAAGTGACCGGGCTTTATAAATACCTTGAGCCCAACTTCACAATCACTTTGGTTTCCCTTCCAAAATCTTTTGCCTCGTATCAATGCCAACCGCAGCGAGAATTTCTGACAGGAACAGTCTCCGAAGTCCACTTCCGGATTCCGGCGCTCTGAAAGAGGGCGGGAAGCTCGCGAAGGAGAGGCGGGGCCTAGACAGGAAGCTAAAGGGGCAGGCGGGGGCGCGTCCGAACGGAACTAGATTTACGTCATTTCCGCTTGTGACGTTCGTTGCTCAGGAAACCAGCGGAGTCCTGGCCAGCGACGATTGGCCGAAGGCGTGACTGTGTTTCTTTCCTGCCCTCTGGTACTTTGTCTACTGGCCTGCGCCCTCCCGGTTTCAGAGTCCTGAAGGTGCTACACCCTGGACGTCTGTTCCTCATCCCAAGCCCCACCGTTTCGTTCCTCCTGGTGCTAGTTCGTAATCCAGCCTCGAACTGCCCCTTCCCGAGAGCTTCCTTTGCTCGCCCTCGGTGGAGTAGTGTTGGTCTGGTGGGACAACCCTCCCTTCCCATAAGCCCCCACTCTGCACAGTTACTACTTCGTGCACCTTCCGGCTAAGAGGGAAATAGTTGTTAGCCTACTTCACTTTGTTTCCTGGACTTTTTTTCTCACTCTGTTACACACAAGGAATGGTTTTTCACGCCTTTGTAGAGATGGAAAAGGGAAAAACTTTTTTTTGTTTTCTTTTTTTGCTAGAGAAAGTGGCTCACCAGAAAGAGGAGAAACCACATCCCACTAGGAATCGTCACTCTACGATCCTTTCTTTGCCATCTTTCCCTCTTTTCGGGATTTTGGGCATGCCAGGCGTGTTTCTCAAGCCTTCCCATGTGGGAATTTAAGCTGTCTTAACCACCAGACCTGGAAAGGCGTATTTAAGGGATAGATTAGTCGCTTTTCCACTTGCACCCTCTTCATAAAGGACCAAAGGTAAAGAAAAGTGAAATAGAAAAGTGATCATGACCATGAAACACATTTGCTTATTCAATAAAATGTAGTAGAGGAAGCAAAATAGAAAGCATAGCAGATTAAGATTGTTTTCCGGCCTTGCAGTGAAACAGGCCAGGTGGTTAAGGCAATTGGATCCCACATGGCCAATTGCGTGGTTTGAGTCTCAGGCCCAGTGACTTGAGAATCATGTGGGGTACCTGTGTTTGGTGCCCAAAATTCAGAGAGAAGAATGGAGAAGGGATTGCTGTGTGGATTGCTCCTTGCAGAAGGCTTTCTCACTTTCTCACCAGTGAGCACTCGTGACTTACAGCAAAATTTTAAAAATTTAAAATTTGAAAGCAAGTGAAATGGAGACTCTAACATATTTTGTGAGCTTTTTCTCAGAAGCCTAAAAATGAATCATTGGAGCCACTGTAATAAAACTTATTGATTTGGTCTAGTATTTCCAGAAGTAGGTAAAACGCTTGCAAAAAATCTTTCTTTCTTAATCTACAAGTGGCAACTGGGTGTAGTCAGATATGCCATGACCTATGCAGTTGTTTGTATCTTACAGTTTTGAAGTATTTTCACATTGCTTAATTTATTTGGAGCCTCATACTAACCATATAAAATCAGTATTACTTAGGGAACCAGCAGTTAGCATACTGGCTATGTCGCTGGACTCCCACGTAGTCAACTGCAGTTCACGTGCCGGACTCAGTGGCTTAAAACTCACGCTGGGCACGTGTGCGTGCGTGCTCAGGATCCCAGAGGAGAATGGAGGAGAAGGGATTGCGGCGTGACCATCCCCCCTGGGGGGTGATTTCTCGCTTTCTGTCTCTATGTCTCTGTCTGGCGAGCGCATGCGCCCTATAGTGAAAAACCTTTAAAAAAAAATCAGTATTACTTCATATCTAAGCAACTGTATTACCCCCTTTTCTGCTCTGGACTGTGCCCTCTTAACACCTACTCAAAGAGTTTTACCCTTTTATTTATCTTTGCCTTAATTTCACCTTTAATTTCTCCCTCACTACTGGGTCAACCTAACAACATCTTAACATGCTTTAGTATCTCTCAGATTAAAAAAAAAAATCCCCTGAATCCATTTCCACCCTCCTCCCTATTATAGCTCTCCGAAAATACATGTTTGGTGCATGTGTATGCATGCCCAAAACACTGACAGGATAGAGAAATGGAAGAAAAATGATTGTGGTATGACCATGCCCCATTGGGGATGCATTCTCTTTCTCTTTTTTTCTCTCTCTCTCCTTGTGGTGAGCACACTTGCGTCCTTGGCAATATAAATAAATAAGTGGGGGACAGCAGGTGGCGTGATGATTAAGACGATGGACTCCCACGTGGTCATGTGGTTTGAGTCCTGGACCTGCCAGCTTGAAAATCAGTCCAGTATATGCCCAGAATCCTGAGGAAAATGAAGGAGAAGGATTGCAGTGTAGCTATTAGGGGGTGAGTTCTCTTTCTTTCTTCCTGTCTCTCTCCAGAGAGTACATGCACCTTATGGCAAAAACTTTAAAAATGAGTAAGGTAAATAACTTTCGCAAGATCACAGAATTAAATACAAAGTATTTGCTGAGATTTAAACCTGATCTATCCTACTTCAGAGCCCAAAGACCTAAGTATCTCCCAGGCCTCCTATATTGTTTAGGTTATTTATAGGGAGATTTTAAAGACATAGGCACAGTTGTAGTGATGTGCTCTGTCAAAACATTATCCTCCATAGGCCGAGACCACATGGAGAGAACTGAGTTCAATTCCTGATCTAACCTAAAGGCTGGGATCAGCAGCATGTGCCCGTAACCCCAGCCACAGAGAGACTAAGGCAAGGATCACAAGCTGGGTGCTGGCCTGAACAATTTAATGAGACCCCTATTCAGGGGGCTGAGGCAAGAGGATTGTGACACATCAGGATCCTGTATTTAAAAAAAAAAAAAAAAAAGACTTTTTTTTATACAGAACTTTTTCCCTACTCTTACAAATGTCCCTTTAAAAACTCAGTTATATACACAAATAGGAAAAAAAAAAAAACCTTTACTTTTAAGCTTCTCAATTTATTTTATTTTATTTTTCTGAGTAATTTTAAACATGAAAATAGAAAATAAGAAAGTAGGAACTGGCAGGTGGTGTGGTGGTTGAGGTGCTAGACTCCCACATGGCCAACTGCGGTTTGAGTCCTAGATCTAGTGGTATGCTTTCTCACTTTCTGTCACTGTCCCTCTCTAAATTAAAAAAAAATAAAATAAAATTACATAATTATTTAAAAAAGAAAATAGCAAAGTATATAAAATATTTTTCTTTTTATTTTCTTATAAATGGCATATCCTTTAGACAATTTTTTCTCTTAGCTCTCTTTCTCTAAATATAATGCACATATTACATGTGTGCTATATGTTAAATAGTTCAGGGCTTTGGGATTTGTAAATCCTTACACATTAAACATTTTACAAACAACAGTTGAGGGTTAAAAAATTTTAGGTAAAATTTATTCACTTTGTACTAGGATAAAGCATCTTAGACCCATATTACTATTATAAATATGAGTAACTTATTTATAACGTAAAGTATTAATAACTGAGATTAAGTAAAATTCATGTTTCTCCCTGTGTTTAATACAGTTTTTTTCATTTCTTCTTACTTGTGACCGTTAGAGCCTTATGTCCTTTATAATGTAAATTCAGAGTTGTGCAACTGTAGACGCCCTTGGAGTTAGTTTATTATAATGATGTCACTTTACAAATGATAAAACTGAAGCCTAAAGATGTTAAGCTATTTGTCCAGGGTTACATTAAGTACTAATATGAACTAGAAGTAAACCATCTTCAGTCATTTTAAGTTCATTAGTCTTCCTTTTTTGTCATATGAAAGAAAACTACCAAAAGCAGTGAGTTCTCACAGTCTTATGTAAGGAAATACCTTGTATTTTATTCATTATATATTCTGAAGAGTAAAAATGTTCTATGTAATTTGTATAACCTACACAAACAAAATTCTTGTATATCATTCCTCTGATAACACAAGAGCAGAATGTCTTTATCTGACCTAGTTAACCATTCAAAAAAATTTTTTTTTTTTTTTGAGA